TAAGTCACATGTCAATCTAGAGGCATGTGAGTGTGTCTAGGAGGGTGGACTTGTATGCTTTCATGTGTACATGTATGCCCAAAACCGCTCGAAGTACTTCGAACAGAAAGTAAATTTTCTCTTCGGTCGTCAAAGTTTAATGACCCACAGATCACGTTTTTTAACAATCAATCCGATTGCATAAAGCCGAGAACACGTCTGGTTAAGTTGATAGACGTTTGGTCCGTGAGTGTATGTGTGTATATTTGTGTGTGTGTTTGTGTGAAAGAGAGAGATAAGAAGTAGAGAAAGTGTGATCGTGACTAAAATCATGACCGATAAAAGACCAGTTGAGCCGCCTCAGATGCCATTTCATCGCTCTCGTATGGGCTCTATCTGTTCTCGTTGATCTCTACCATACCAGATTCTTGTGATTCGGGTTTAACAGTTTCAGGCAGGTGAAACAAACAAAGTTTCGAGACTACCAGCAAATCAGATCTATGAGTTGGGTTCACACACAACCCTCGTTTAAAGTGTTGAATGACTGGTAGATGAATTTTCCCACAATTATATGATAGAGATGATGTTTTCGTTGGATTTCGCATAGTCTCGCCTCCAAAAAAGTTGTTCGCATTTAGGGTGGACTGAAATTTTGACCTCTCATAGGTCTTAACTATGGCCCAAGCGGGACTCGAATCATGACAGTGCAGCGTGTAATCTCGACACGTTGACCACTACGCCATATTGGTACAAAGCTATGTGAAAACCAATAAAAACGTCGGCTTTGCTCATATGATTGTAGGAAAATTCAACTACCAGTCGTTCAACACCTTAAACTAAATAGGATGAACATAATTGATCTGATTTATTCCAAACGAAATATCATATTAGTCTTCTATCCTTAACTTCACAAGCCAAGTCATTTCGCTCAGGATCTATTTCCAATATACCCTCTCGTATAACTGCTTTACTGGTAGTCTCGAAACTATACTTACAAACGAAAAATAAGTAATGTAGTCTATTATTATAGCAAATATGACTGATTCATCGAAAATGCCTACCCTTGAAATTCACATCTTTCCGTTGACCCAAGGGCATTCGTGACATTGTAACGGATTGGTTAAAGTGTCAAGTTTACATGCTGAACTTTCATCGTTCGAATCCCGCTCAGAGTGTTGCTAACACCAGTTTAGTTGGGGTCGAAAGTACAGTCCACTCTTGCCCAGATGAAAACAACCTTTTGAAAAGCAAAGTTATGCAACATTCAATGAAAATGATAGCTCTACTCATATGATTGTGGGAAAATTAATCTACCAGTCCTTCATAATCTTAAAGGAAATAGAGGGAATAGATATCGCATAATAAGAATTGGTTCGCAATATTACGTTTGAGTTGGTCGAATTAAATTGCACGCATTCTCACTTATGCTTGACTGGACTCTAATTTCTACCCCACCCGAATCCGTCTCACCAGCACCCTCGGTGGGACTTCAACCTGATCTGGTGATGGTCTCGAAATCTATTTATAAACAAAAATGACTAACCTAATCGACTGTGATGGTATGCACAACGTTGCTTCGTCTACAAGAGCATCAAAGAAACGTAATCGGAAGAATTTACATCAATAGCTCAGTGTTGAGACTCTACGCTGCACTACCGAGGGCCGAGTTCGAGTCCCGTTGTGGATGATGATGAGACTGCGGTTCAACCCGATCTGGATAGGAATCCACTGGAAGCATAAGACCTATTCACATGATTGTGGGAAAATTCAACTAAACGCAACTTGTTGGAAACAGTTTTTAATAAAGCTCTACTGGTTGGCTCGAAGGCCTGCTTAAACTACGAAAATTTAGCAAACAGACCCAAATATGAAGAGGCAAGGTTGTTATAAACAGACTTCGTCAACACGAATTAAAGCAGAGTTTTTAAGATGCTCTTAACGGCATTTTGATTGGGAGGACTTGGTGACTTGGTCCCACAGACTTTGTGATGGTCTATCTTTACTCTTTCTCACGATAACTTTTATTTGGATCAAGTCGCATATGCAGTTTTGTAACATTCCGAAATTCGGCCAATCAAATGCTAGCACCCGCATCGATCCTATTTATCGAACCAATCCGAGGGCGGCATTCAAATTACGCAGGCATATTTACAGTGCTTTCAATCGTCTTAAGTGATGCTCCGCTGCTCTCGACTGCTGCTCGTCCACTTTCTCCACAGGACTCTTGATTGAGAAGGTCTACATTGCCGCAAATGGTTGAGATTGCATCAATCACCAACCAAATGGATGACCCCTTTTTTCCGAAATTCACACCAACTCTACTTCGAAGCTGCAGTCCAGACCAGCCTGGACGAGAATGCATTGCGATGGATAGGGTTGAGTGAACAATTATTGTTAGCCTGGAATAGCTCAATTGTGTGTCTTTGATCACATCATACGACTTAACGAAAACACATTTGTTGGGGCGAGGGTACTTTCATTTCGTATGAAAGTGTATGAAGAAGAGATTCGTTGGTCGATCTCACCAGATGAGGACGGATTAATCTCGTGGTACTGCTGCCGTTTGGCGTTGATGCGATGTACAACGAGATTCATCCGTCTTCATCGGGTGAAATCACTTTGATACGAAATGAAACTCGGCCCAACAATGTGATCTCAGGAGATTCATCGAAACCCACCTTCTCTTCGTGTCGAAAATACACTTTTTAGACTTCTTCAAAGTTCTGTTATGGATTACAACATGAGGCGTGAGGTGAACAGATTTGTGATGCTACGTTAATTGGTCTCTTCCGCTTTGAATGCATTGCTTGCTGGTGCAAATGTTCATTTTGTGGCGATTCTAAATGGACGCAAATCCAGTCAAAATGGGAATGTCGGGCTATTGAGCCCGTGGAAGCTGTGGAACTGTGGCCTCTTTTGTCTTGTGAACCACCGGCAGGTCATGAGTGGGAAAATCCCTTTTCGCCCTTCATTCAAGGGAACAGGTGAACCAAACGACAGTGGGTGGGATGCCCTTTTATCCCTCGAATAAAGGCAATTAGGCATTATGCGCAAGCCGGCTGTACAATTGTTCACAAATGTACTGGCCTGTGAAAGAGATGCGGGTCAGCCACGGACCATTGTTGCCAGGAGTTCTTCTGCTTCACTCCGCTTACTCGATGGCCTGCTTGGCTCCATTTCGCCTCTTAGCGCCAGAACAACGGACCAGGAGACCAAGTTTCGGAAAAGACAGGACTGGTTACCAGTTTTTTTGTCCCAGACAATATTTATTGCCCTGGTGACTGCAGGATAATTGAGTGTGCACGCAGAATCTTATTCCTCAAAAGACAATACATGAAAGCAACC